GGATTCGATAAGGGGTTGCAGAGAGCTTGGGAAAAGCATGGGGCGGCGTTCAAAGTCGTCTTAGCCATAGACAACTGCGAGCTCAGCAACGAGATTCACCGAAACACTTTCCCAGGAGTGACTGTTGTAAATCACATACTGGGCAAATCATTCAAGGCCACAATGGACTTGATCAGCGAATATATACCGCGAGAGCAGTGGAGCTCGATGTACTGGCATGCTAGCCCATCGTGCATTGAAGGTTCCACTGCCAACATGCAGAAGAGGAACGTGAAGGAGTTTGTAAAGCTCACACTATGGACCCTCAGTCTCATGAAGCAGTGCAGACCAGGAATGTGGACCCTGGAACAGATCCCTGTAATCGCTAGATACGTGATGTTGGAGACACCATATGCTGAAGTCTTGAACATGCGTGAATTCACAGCCCAGACGTCCGACAGGAAAAGACTCATCGCCTCTAAAAGAGACCTGAAACTGCAAAAGCTGTCAGCGGAGGAATACAAAGAAAAATTTATATCTCCGAAGAGGATGCTAATGGAAGCGTACGATCTCATGGACAAGGAGATTGAGCTAATACGTAATGGGCATAACTACGTAAGGTCAGCAGAAGAGCCGGCCTACACAATCACTGGTAATCCAATTCAGTATGGTCCGCAAGGACCCGACATGAAACCAGTGAAGACACCAGAGTTACTGAGAATGATGGATATTAAGAAGGGAGACTTTCAATTCCCAGATGACCTCAACGCAACGATGATGTTAAAATTATGTTGCCAGTGCATACCACCGTCGTTCTCAGAAGAGATGACAGTAGCAGTGCTAAACACGTGGCATGATGCTAATAAGAAAAATATACACAACCATTTCGAAGACATATTCCATGGATTCGGGGTCGAATCCGAAATTTTTGCGGGGGACCCGATGGCCATGAGAACGGGATGGGACGAGTTGAGGGACAATGTAGTTCCCGACATTGCAATGGTTATGGATCAGGACACTTGGCGCATAGGGAGAGTGGCGGAACATGACCATGAAAAGAAGAGAAAATTGGTATGTTTGGCGTATAACATGGCAGTTGCCTGGTATGACGAAGACGCAGTCTGCAAGCCAGACGGAAGGTTAAACACACGACACATGACAAAGGAAGACCTAGCAAAGGCTTCGGTCAAAGCACATACAATGCAAACTGAGTATGCTCAGGAGCCTTTGAATATGAGCGTGATAGACTTGCCTGACATCTGCAAGGATGTGCGTCCCAGACCAGACAGAAACCGTGAGGACCCCAAATACGTGCCATGGTCGCCCGCGTTTAAGAATGCTCGCGCGGGACTGAGACCGGGAAACCGGATGATGACCAGAGGGACCCCTTCATCAGAGAGGAGGATTCCGTATGAATTCGTGTTGATCACTCATG